TCATCACTCATTTGCCACCGGAGATAATATTTCTCACCCATCTACTCTGAGGTCTCTGGGGTTGTTGTGGCTGATTTAATTTCATCCCATTTTAGCGGCATGAGCTGAAATGTCCAAACATCAAGGCAGGAACTCAAATCCAAGCAGATCTGAGAGACGGAGTCCAATTTTCTCTTGAATGACTCCGGTGTTGCTCACCACCTCCTGAGGTGATGGGTTCCGTTTTCGTACTGCTTTAACAGTTAGGAAGTTTTTCCTGATGTTCAGCCAAAACCTGGCTTCCTGTCACTTGGGCCCATTCTGATGCATCCTGCACTCTGAGATGATGAAGAACAGATCCTGCCCCTCCTCTGGAGGACCGCCTTTCAAATCTTTGAAGGGTACTATCCTGTCTTCCCTCTGTTTTATTTTCCATGGTCGTCCTCCTCTAACAGTTAGGACGTTTTTCCTCAGCTGAAATCTGGCTTTCTGTAGCCTGAGCCTATTGTTGTGTGTCCTGCACTCTGGGAGGATCGAGGACAGATCCTGCCCCTCCTCTCCTTCTTTGCTTTTGGGAAATGGTTGCAATCAAAGAGCCCCCCCCCCAAAAAATAAATGTCCCCCTTTCTGGTGTGAGGTTGTGCTGAACCCGACAGGCAACGGCAAGGTCCCAAAGGCGTTGTGCGTCTCCAGGAAGCAGACGGGTCACCCGGTTTGAGGTCTGCTCTCGGGCCACCAAAAGCAGGCCGCTCCCGCTTGGATGGATCCGGCCCTGTCCTGCCGCTCGGCACAGGCAAGGGTCTCAAAGAGGGAAGGACGGACACGGCTCTGGTTTTAGATCGGACGGGCCCCCTGAGGGGTGGGGAGGAGAGATGTGGTGCCAAGATTTAGTGAGGGGAAGCCGTGAAACTTTTTCATTTGTGGGAACACAGAAGGAAGGGGACAAAGCATGTGGCTTTCTTTCTGTGCTGGAGGGCCTCAGATCCGCCCATTTCTCCTGGCGTTAGTGGAATTTGTCAACCAATTTCAGATTATTCGGAGCGTGGGGTGGTGGTGCCCTAAGACCTTAAGTTAGGTTTATCAAGTCAGGCCTTCAGCTCATCTAACCCAGTGCAGTCAACTCTAACTGGCAGCAGCCGCTCTCCCGGGTTTCCGGGCAACATCCTTTCCTAACCCAGTCTAACAATTCTATATTCCTCGGGGTTTGAAATTTGGAAAGATCAGCGCATTCAGTTTAGCACAGTGGAGTATGTGTGTGGGAGTCATTTGTTACCTGTGCAACAGTCAAAAAGCATGGCCCCTGGAATCACCAGAGAGGGCTAGGAAAGGATTCTCCATTGCTGCCAGCCAGAGTCGCCAGTATGGGGCGAGACGGGTGAACTGATCTGATTCAGCCTATTCGGGCTCTTTTGTGTAAGGAGATGGTGATGATGAGCTTCCGTACGCCCAAAAGGACTGCTCTCGTTATTGTGTGCCCCTTCTTTTGGCCTGGAAAGGCAGAGGACCAAGCCCACCGCCTTTTGCAAGTGAGCTAGAGTGGATTCAGTCCTTCCTCATCTGGTGGAACCGATCCACCAAGCAATGTAGGTCTCTCCAGATGCAGAAGACAACCACGTGTTGATACTGTGGATGGTCTGAGGACGTTTGCATCCTCGGAGAAAATTAAGACAGACCCTGCGATATCTCTCAGGGACAGCTAGGGTGCCAGAGGATCATATTTTACACGGACTAGACAAGAGGGGTCCATTTTAATGGAAATCCCTGGGAAAATCGGAAGGGCTGCTGATCGTTTGGATGAAAGAAAGAGCCACAGCGACCTCTAATGAAAAGAGGAGCCAAGGAGGAAGGGAAGATCCTTAGTAGGAGAGCTCGGGAAAGGGGGGGGGGTTGTTTAAAAAGATTCCCTTTTCCCTTCATCCAGGCTCTTTTCCCACTGTTTTTTTTCTCTCGAGGGAAAGCCAAAAAACGGTAGGAAACACAGTTCCCGCCCTGATCGAATCCATTCAGTTCTGCTCTGGTCTTTGCATCTGAAGTTTTTAAAACTTCCAACATTGGCGTGGAGACTGGGGATCTCTATTCTCGGTTCGACTCAACGTCCTGGAATGGTGGAACTCCTTGGCTACTGTAAGAAAAAGAGATGTGTTTGAAATGCAGATTTGAAGGTATTCTTCACCTACAGCTGGAGGTTCCATCAACATGATGATCTTCCCCCACACTATCATTTATTTCCTCCCTCCAGGAAGGAATTAGCTGAAGCTTGGGTTAAGCTAAGAGCACATCTATGCTACGTGTCAATCGGTTTGATAGTACTGTAATTGAAACTTCCATGGCCCAATCCTGTAAAATCTTGGGATTTATAGTTTAGGAAAAGAACGGGGAATTCTGGTGAATTGCCTCAAAATCCATAGGGAAATTCAAAATCCTTCCTTTATAGATACCAAGATGGAGACACATTAGTTAAAGTGAGATCAAACTGCCATAACTCAGTAATGCAGATTTACTGTTATACTTTTTTGTTGCTATCTTTGTGTGCCATCAGGTTTCTTTTGAGTCATGGCAACACTATAAAGGAATGATCTCCAAAATATCCCATCCTCAACACCCATGCTGAGTTCTTGAAAACTCAGGGTCGTGGTTCCTTAGGGCGTCAATCCATCTCACAATCGATTCTCCTCTTTTCCTGTTTCCCCAGCATTCTGTTTTTCCTAGTGAGTCTTGTCAGATTTATTATGCAAATTTCAATCCTTTCATTTTAAAACTACTAATATTATACTGATAACAACCCAAGGAATGGAACAAAGTTTGAAAAAGAGAAAAGTGTTTTTTTTTGTGATACATAGCATATGTGGTTTTCCTTGATCTTTAGAATTTGGACTGAGCATGAGAGATAAAAGCAACATTCTCACAATTAATATCATAGTCGCCAAGCTGGCGCCATCTCTCTCACCTGCCCCTTGCAAAGCAATGAAGACATGTGAATTAAGCTGGCACAGTTCCTATTCATAGGCCCATGAGAGTAAATACTTTTCAAAAGATAAACGAATCATTAAAGATGTTTAAGAGCCAGCAAAAAGGACACTGTTGTTCAAGCTCCCTTGAAAACCCACAAAAAAAGAAACAGCTAGATATTTCGGAACAGATATCACAAAAAGGCATATTGGATTTCAGTGGTTGTCTTTGTTGTTATTATTATTATAAATCATATTAAAGCAGTTTATGAGGCTGCTTTCAGGTTGATTTCTTTATAAGCTGCCTTTCTCTAGTCCAGTTGAGGCCTTAAAAACCAGTTGCATTAAATGTAAATCACCATGTTTTTATCTTCAAAACAACTCTAACCAGCACCCCACAGAAACTCTATAACCCATAACATGGATCAGGCATGGTCTTTCAGATGTTCCCGGAGCACCGCTCCCGTCATACAGCATTACTGGCTGATGGGATTTGTATTCCAACATCAGCCACAAGTTGACCGAAAAAGGGTGTAAATTTAAAAAAAGGGGGGTTGACCCACCGAATGAAACGTGAAGATCAGAAAGCAGGATTCAATTAGTACAGCTTGAGCTTTCGAATGGAGTTGTTCTAATTAAGCTGGCTGCTTCTACTGTGTCTGGCAGAACATGGTTGCCGTACGTTCTAGTACAGTATTTTTGTTTTATTTGAAGGCTGTTTTGCCACTGTTGGGTGCCTTTCTGAAGAGGAAAGGATCTATCCGGTGACCCTGTGACCTAAGTTACTCAGAGCGGGCCTCTGTTTTAGAAAAGGATAGAAATAGTCATGTTAGATGAAGTACCCAAAGGTCATCAATTCCAGCCCTGCAGCCCGGACGGATGGCCGTCCCCCTCTGCTTGAAAAGTTCCAACCAAGTAGTGCAGAATGGGAGCCGGACAGGAAGAGCAGGGACCCCCCCCACACACACACACACTTGACCCATCACAAGGGGCAAACCCCTTGGTGGCAAGTGTGCGGTGCTTTCACATGATGAGGTGAGAGGCAGTGAGGTATAATGGTTGGAGATTCAGGGGAAGGCGCTGGAAACCTGATTAACATCCCTGTTCGGCCCTGGAAACTCAATGGAAAAACCCACTCCTTGAAGCTCTCCTGAATCTTGGAAACCCAAATAAGGTCACTGTTAGGTCCCATCATCCCCAAATCTGGCTGGGGATGGTGGAACCTGTAGTCCAAAACCCTCTGAAGGGTCACAGTTTTTGAAAAGGCAGTATGATCACAGGAATATGTTCATTTAAGCCAAGGGGCTTCTTTCTTGGGGGAGGAGGTTTCCTTATTTTTGGAGGAGGTCTAGATCTTCATGGTTTGAGTGTCCACCTTAACTGGAAAGAATAGACGTAGAAGCTGGGGTGAGTGGCCTTAAAAGCAGCAGAACTTAAGGGTTGCAAGGAGGCAGTTTGTCCATGCTCAGGAGTACTCTTGCCCACAGCTACTTCCTGGTTGCCAGAGCTAATCCCAAATAATCCAGGAAAAATATATACATTTCTATACATTATTTTCTCATTAAATATCTTGTCCAATCCTCTGATCAGTTTTATAAATTTAAAAAATAAATAAAACGTTTATTTGCCTCGGGCCTCTCTAGCCCTTCCAACTCGTTTCCCGGCCCCTAAGTCCTCCACCGTCCCACTATAACCCGCGGCGGAAACGGACGCCTCTCTTCGGCGCATGCACCCTCCTTCTTCGCCGCCTTTTTGCCCGACCAGCAGTGGCCGATCTGCCGTTCCGAAAGCTCCGCCTCCTCCTCCCCTCTTCCTTCTCTATTGGCCAGGGTGCGGCCTTGAACACCCAATCCTGACTTCCTATGGTAGGTCGGGCCCCGCTTCTCCGTCCGTCTCAAAAAAGAAAAAAAGAGAAAGAAACTCTCTCCTGAGGAAGCTCGCTTGCCGATTGGCTGGAACCCTCGACCCCTCCCCTGACGTCAGCCTCACGGTTAGGAAGGGGAAAAAACTCAGCGCCCAATCCGGTTCACCCAGGATGCACCGCGCCCGCTCTCCTATTGGCCACAGCCTCCGTCCGTCCGGGAGGGGGGGCCGTTGCTAGCGGGCAAGTTAGGTTGAGGCCCCCTTTCGATTCCCCCTCCCCTTCTCCTGGTTCTGCCTGGATGTTGTTGTGAGGCGGGAGGGCGGCTGTTGAAGTTTGGTTGGCGTCGCGGGGGGCTGGCCGTGAGAGCGGCAGCGCGAGGCGGCGGGGAGAGCTACGCGAGGCCGAGGCTCCGTGTGCGGCCTAGCCGCCGCCGCTGCCGCCACCACCACCTCCTTTTCTTCCCCCCATCTTCCCGGCTCCGTTCCTCGTTTCCGGCCAAAGGAACGGGAAGGCTCGAGTTCGCCGCCGCCGCCGCCATGACGCTGGAGTCCATGATGGCCTGTTGCCTCAGCGACGAGGTGAAGGAGTCGAAGCGCATCAACGCCGAGATCGAGAAACAGCTGCGGAGGGACAAGCGGGACGCCCGGAGGGAGCTCAAGCTCCTCTTGCTCGGTCAGGGCCGGGGCGTCTCTAAACGCGCCTCGTTTTCTTTTCCTTCCTTCTCTTCCTCCCCCCCCGCTAAAAAAAGGGGGGAAGAAAAAGCCCAGAAAGGGAAAAATATCCGGAACAAACCTGCCCCCAAATCCCATGCGAATAAAAACACTCGCAAAGATGCCTAGAAATGGGGGGGGGGGAGAAAGACACAGAAATGAGCCTCTTCTCGCCCCCCCCGAAAACGCCACTCCTAACCCTACCCCCCAATTTCATTATCTTGCATTTTTTTAAAGGGGGTTCTTTCTCCCCTCCTTTTTGGGGCCTCGCCTTCCCTTCCGTCCTCTTTTATTTGTCACTCCCCTCCCCACGTTTCTAGCCTTAAAAATAATAATAATTAAAAAATAATTTAAATGGGGAACGTTTATTATTCCTGGGGGAGGGAGGGGGGACCCTGATTTTTAAACCCCTTTGGTTTTGCCTTTCCCCCTTTGCTTTCAGGGGCTGGGTGGTTGGCTGTCAGGTGATAATAAATATATATACAGTATGGGGTGCAAGCAGAGATGGAATATCAGGATGTCGTTTATGCATAAGTTAGGTATAATACATATCTATAGATATTTAGGCGTAAGTATAGGTGGCATGCATGGCTATATACATGCATGCCTTTGCGTGTGTCTGTGCCAGTGCCAGAATTTATATAGACATGCACTGTGCCCATATTTGCATGATATACATATTTCCTACTCATTATAATATCTCTGTATTATGCCTAATTATATATATCTGTAATATAGAGATAACTACTTTATACATAACAGATGTCTATATATGTTACACCTCAGTAGTATATAAATATATTATTTATTAATTATATACAGATACATATATATACACACACACATGAGTGATTTACATAGCCTGTTTTTCTTTTCATATATTACTCTTATAATTGTATGTGTAACTTAAAATAATGTTATATGTCCAAAGTTTTATACACATACACTTATATGAGTGATGTATGAATAGAAAAACAGGGTATGTAAATCACTCTTGTGTCTGCGTGTGTGTTTATATAAAGTTCCATTGAATTCTTACCTGTTTATATCTGTATATATTTAACACATAATGTATCTCATAATATGTATATATACCACTGAGATGTAACATATATTGTTTTTGTTTATATATTATATAAAGTTATGTTTAGCTCTAATTACTTGTTTATATCTGTATATGTATCTATGTGTGAATGCACGTATCCAGGAAAACTTTGATGGAAGTGCTGTTCAGTTCTCATTCATGTTTGAATGACGTGTGTGTACATAAATCTGTTTGTATATGTCTGTCTGTGCCTCTCTATCAGCATATACTTCTTGCTATGTGTCTCTTACATAGATTTATATATATCTATACACACACATGCAAACACATAGCCTTGATTTTTCCCCCTAGCTTTTACTTTACCTCTTGAAGGTGTGCTTCTATGTCTTTCACAGTCACAGGATAAAAGACCACACTGCTTGTTTGTGTATGTACACACCCCTCTCTGCATGTGTTTGAGTGTGCATATAAAATGTTTAGCACATATGTTTTTCTAACTTGGATGACGCACCTCTTCTGTCCTTTTGGGTATATGTCTTAAATAGCCTGAGTGGAAAAAGTCCACATAGTTTTTCTTTTTTTTAATGCATGTGTTATCATGTCACACTGTATATGTAGATAGATGGATGGGGATAGATATGCAGTTATAGTAGTTTCTTATTTATATTTGATGACCTGTCTTCCCTCTATGTTGCTTCCTTGTTGCGTTATTTCACAGCACCTGTGTGGGGTTTTTTGTTTGTTTGTTAATTTTGGTTCCTATGCCCTGGTCTTCCTATTTCTCCTTTTCCCTCTCACCCTTTTTATTTATACACACACAACCCTGTAGTTCTCTAAATTCATACAGGCAGATAAGTGCATATATAAAAATGCAATTCTTTTTATGTATATTTTATGTATCCTTGTTTTTTCAAATTTCTGAGTCATACCCAGGTTATTAGTGAAATTGGGTCCCTCTATGCTCATGTCATGGCTTTCTTGTTCTCCCCCCCACACTTTATATATTCACATAAATCTCCTCCTGCTTTAGTTCTTTCATATGTTCAATCTTAGTTAGATCTGCACATGTAGCTTTTTGCAGCTTGAGTTTGTTTCCTCCACTCATGAGCCCTTGTTTCCTCCTTTCCCTTACCCTTCCTTTGTGTATATCTACTCTTCTGTTTCCTAAATCATATTTATGAACAGTTCTTGGCTTTCTGAATTTGGTTCATGTGCCCTTTATTGGTGTCTACATGCACACTTATGTTTCTTATTTGTCTAATCCTTTCCTACCCGTTTATAGCCCTTTGCTTTTGGACTCTTATTTCCTTCATGCACATTTCCCGTCTACTTGGCTACCTTCCTTCCTCCCACTCCGGTTTTATAGGCATGTATGTGTCTACACAAATACACTTGCTTTTTTATTGTTTGTGTTACATCCTCTTCCAATGGGCGTACAACTCCTTCATTTTGAACTTCATTCCTATAAGCATGTCTCACTATTTCCTTCATTTCCTCCTCACCCGTGCATTATTTATTTTTTACATATTACCTCTCCTTGGGCTTTTGTGCATGTGTTATATTCTTGTCCAATTTGTTAATACTACTTGTCTTTTTAAACCAGCCTCCCTCTCCCGCCCCTGCTTTAATGACATGCATTTCTCCCCGATTCTATGAATTATTCCCTTGTGTAGCCTGTTCTCAGTGCACATGTGTATACACCAATAGGTGTTAATGTATACTACATATATCTTTTCTCGTTTGTTTACACTTTTCTATGTTTTGACTTTGTAATTTGGACACTTTCCTCCCGGTGAGACTTTTCTTCCTGTGCCTTATCTCCAAAGAGAGAAATTGAGTGTCACCCGCCACCCCTTCCCCACCCCACCCCACTGGATTTACTTTGTATTCTCAGTTTATTTACCTTTCATATCCCTTCTTTTCTCTTCCACTAAAGGGAGCCCATAGCGGGATTTCTCTCCCTCTTCTTGTTACATCTCGGCAGCAACAGCCACCTCCCTGTGAGGTCTGTCAGGGGAATGATGGAGGGCAGTGGGCTCAAATCTCTGGCCCTGCCCCGTCCTTTTCAGGAAGGGACTGTAGACAGCCCCCCCAGCCAATGTTTCTAGCTATTAAGGTGGGCCTTCTTTAGCTATCACTTCCCTTACCACTCTGCTTTCTCCTCTCAATTAGATTCCTCGATTTATCATCCTCTCTTATCGTTCCTTTGACTGCAAGTGGGCAGTTTGGTATCCGATCTGTAATTATTTACTGGCAGGAGGAATTGTTTCCTGGGATTTATAACTCATCAGGAAAGAAAGAAAAAAAAGCCCATAGTAGCTCTCCTTCTTCCTGTCCTTCATGTCTATTAACAGCCTCCTGCCCCACCCACATTATGTAATTTCAGTGCCTTTGATTAACTTCTCCGGTATTATTATTTTCCTAGGACTGAAGTCCAGCTGTCTAACCTTTGATTATTTTGTACATCTATTTTTCGGCTAAAATGTCATTGCGGTGGCCCTCCGTCCCCTGCCGGATCCCATAATTTCCCAATCTTTCAGTCCAGTTCCCCTGATTCCCCTGATAAACCATTATTTTATAGTTCTTCCACAGTTTGTTTGTGGGGATTTCTGGATCTCACCTGAACACCTTTCTTTTCTACCTCCTTCACCCTAACCTCATCGTGTTGTTTCCCAACCTGTGTGTTTCATTCCTCCGTGTAGCAGTATTTATCCCCTTTTGTATGATTAAGCTTTTCTCCCCTGCTGTGACTTCTGTTCTGTCTGCTGGCCAATATGTCTCAAGAGTAAACACAATCACTTGCCTTCTCTCAGCCCACTTGGATGGGTGAGGGTCAGAAAGGTTGCAACAAAATCCAGTTGTAATCGCTCAGTGGGCTTGAAGTCTCTGGCTACAGGGCCAGAGGTTGGGAGTTCAGTTTCCCCCACTGTGCCTCCGGGACAGAGGCTGGTCTCAGTGATCCTGAGGGTCCTTTCCAGCTCTGCAGCGCTAAGATGATGATGACGCTAAGGAGGTATTGGCATGGTGTTCAGAGGAAGCCTGATGTTTGCAGAAGGGAGAAAAAAAAGAACCAGCAAAAGGAAAGAGATCACACAGGGAGGGAGGGAATTATAAAGTGTTCAGTTGGAAAAGGAAAAAAGTGGGGAGAGGATGATGATTTTGTCTTAATCCTTAAATGATTATTGTCTGCACCAGCTTCTAGCAGGTCCTTCTTAGGAGCGGCTTATAAGATTGTTAACATGGTCTGGTGAATCGGAGCCCTTAATTGAGGAGGTAGTTAAAGCTGACGCCTGTCCATCTCTTCCTCCCACAACCCTCTGTGTGCCTTCGGGATGCCCTTCGCCTCTGGTCATGATAATCTACTCTTTTGCTCCCCTCTCTGATGATGATGATGATGTGTGTGTGTTACTTTTTTTTTAAAGGCCGGGGATAAGCAAAATGTTGTGAAAGACTAGTCTTTGAATAGTTAAGGGCGACGCTTGTCCAGAAGCAGAAGTGTCTCAGGAGGCAGACTTTGGAAAAGCATCCCATTGGCAGTGAGAGGAATGATCAAAAGCGAGGGGGAAATCGAGCATCCCATTGGCAGTGAGTTAGAGGAATGATCAAAAGCGAGGGGGAAATCTCCTGATGGTGCTGGGGGAGACCCCGCAGGTGGTGTTTGACCACGACTCACAGCATTCCTCACTCCTGGCAAACGTGCCCGGTGGAGTTGGGAATTGAAGTCCCAACTGCGTCGGGAAGGGAAGAGGCAGTCCAGCGCCTCTGGAACTCCGCACGGTTCTCGTCAGTGCTTTCGAGATTTCACTTCCCTCCATTTTCCCTACGTGATTTCTCTTCTGCGTTCCCAGCCAAAGGCCTTCCTCTCCCTGCACTCTCGTCGTCGTCATCATCATCTCTCTCGCTTGGCATGCTAAAGGGGAATATATTCTTATCCTAGCTCTTGCAGGTGAGGAAAACGTTTACAGTTCTGAAGTCGTATCAGTTTCTTCCGAGTTAAGCTTCAGATTTTCAGTACCCGTTAAAGATTACAGCTTCAAACTATCCTGAGAGTGGTTAAGCACTCAAATAGTGACACCCCCCCCTTCTTTCTTTGCTGAGGCGCCCAGCTTCTCTGCTTTTGCCCGAGTGCTTGGCCACTGAACACGAAGCTGGAAAAGCCGTGCAGTTGCATTGTGTCCTTTGACGCCGTAGGCTTCTCACAGCCTTGCTTTCTAGGTTTGCGAAGTCTTTGGTCTTTCCCCTAGCTTTGCTTTCAACGCATTTATTAACCTGAAATAACCCCACTTGGAGTAAGGAGGCCTGTACTAGTCTCGCCCTGATCTTGTTGCTGTCGGTTCTCCTGCAGAAGACACTGTTATAAAACATTGTTTAAGAGATCTAGTAAAATAAGACGAGGTCCCTAAAGTCTAATTTCTAAAATCAGATGCCCTTTTGTTCAGAAGGCTGTCCTTCCCCCTACGTTATGCTGTGAGTGTGATGATAATTTAGCAAATGAAAGAGAGACACTGCATGGATACATCCTTGATGTTGTTTTATCTTCCAGGGTGTAATCCTGGGGGGAACAAACACTGCAGTTCTGCCAGGGCACAAGTAAGTCCGTCAATGGGCCAGCGCTTTAGTATCTGAGGGAGCAGGTCTTCCTTGGCAACGGGGAAAATGGAGCGTTATGACTTGAAGGTTTGGATGAGCAGCAGAGAAACCTCTCTGCCCTTTTCTGAAGGGGCCTCTGAGAAATTACAGTGGTTTATTATTTTATCCTGTACCTCTCTTTTGGGACTTACCTGTGGAAGGGGGAAAGCGAGGAAATTTGGGGGGGACAGTGAGGCAACTTTGTGACTATAGTTACATGTACAATGTGTCGTGCTGATTTGTGATGCTCTTGAGCTACCTATCGGAGCACTATTGGGTTCAAATCAGTCACACCCTTGCTTCCCGGAACTGGTTTTGAACTGGGGGCATGCTGTCTGTCACACATGGGACGGGTCTCTAGCTGAGCAGTTTTGCTCAATATACCCCTTAGAGTCTGTGCGTCAGACAGGGAAACCGAGGCTTGCTAAAAAATGTTGCCGTGCTTTGACACTGGACAGTTTGCATTCCTCAAAGTTTGTGCTCACCTTTACTGCAGAGTCATTTTATTGTGATGCAGCTTTTTAAAATCTTTATTTACTTTAAAATAGGCAACCAGATGCAGTGTCTGCCTTTCAAAGGAGCAGCCACCTCCCTTAAGAAACTTGGATTTATTTCTTTTTGGGTGCATTTTAACTTGAAGCCCCCCCCCCTTTCTGGACTTTTAACGCCCACTCGTGCAGGTGGGATGTGTTCGACAGCTAAGAGCCATCAGAAATCAAAAGCCGTTAGCATCTTTTTAGCCTCGAGAAGTAGTGAAAAGAAACGTGTTTTGCCGCTGGGTGTACAGAACCGTGGGTATGATTCTGTCTACTTGACGGGACATAGTGCTGAAGCCGGACTTACAGTTGCAATCATAAATTGGTAATTTCTTATTTGAAATACACCAACTCGGAGGGTTGTCTAGGAAAAGTGAGCTGCTTATCAACTGACCCATAGCACTCTTTGGGTGGTTTACAATGTCATGATGCAGGCTGCGCATGGCCCCCACCCACCTAGGGAGCTGGGTTCTCCTTTTACCAGCCTCCGACGGCTGGAAGGCTGAGTCTCCTGCTTGTCTGGGTTCACAGTGCATTCATGTAGTGGCTTTTCTGCATAAAAGAGCACTGTTCCCTGTCCCTCAAAGAGGTGACAGAGAGCACCTGGCAGAGAACTCCTTCCTTCATCACCTTGGGTGATGGAAAAAGCCATGCAGGTGACTCCTTCCCAGGGAGATTGCTCTCTGTTAAAAGAGTGCCATTAAGCATCTTTGCAGCTTGGTGGTTTTCCTGAATCTCCTTGCCTAAGTGCTAGAGAGAGAAAGAGCTTAAAGCAGGCAGGCGGGCAGGCAGGCAACAGGGTCATTTTCACTGTCAAGGGATTATTCAGGCCACCTCTTGTGTATAACTCTTCTTCTACATTCTTTGCGTTTCATCTGCATCATTTAAGGCTGCAAGAATAAGGTTTATGGAGGTCCTTTGGTACCGGCTGCAGACAATACACAGAAGTCGGGGCTGTTCTCATTTCTGGTCCTGGCAGATTGATCTTCTTTCTGGAGCAGTGATTCCCAACCTTGGGTCGCCAGCTGTTCTTGGACTACAATTCCCAAGACGTCTCCACCATGGCCAGTGCTGGCTAGGACTCCTGGGAGTTGTAGTCCAAGAACCCCCGGGGACTCATGGTTGGGAACCTCTGTTCTAGAAGTATGGCTAACGTCACTCCGACACAAGAACAGAATCTCTAAATTATAGTTCCTGTTCCTTCCTGCTGTGACTGTTTGGGGTAAGCTGGTGTAAAAATTACCTTCGGAACATGGCTTTTACCTGTTTGCATGACCTCTTTTATCTATGCTGTGTTGGTCTAGTTGACGGCCTCTAAGGAATCATTGGGGATGTGCAGGGTCAACCAATGTCCACACTCGGGACTTCCTTTAAGTTAGTGGTTCCCCAGTGAAGAGGGTTAGAGCTGTGGATTTCTCAAGAGCCCCGTTCTTCATCATTGTCTGAGCAAACCTAGAACGTCTTTGTGTGTGCCTGCTTCCAGCGCTTAGCAGCTCCTCATCAGCACCCAGAAATATGGGTCACGCCTACCTCTTTGGTGTCTCGTAGAAGTTAGGTGTCTTTGGTGGGCATCCTTCCAAGGGTTTGAACTCAGCATCCTGTTTGTATAGGAGGAGTGATGGTGAAGTCATGCAGACCTAGTCCAGAGTCGTTGGCTCTGCTTTCTAGAAAGGAAGCAGGTTGGCCGGCGTAACCTAGCGTGGATTCCAGCTTGGGACCTCTGCGGTCAGTGGCTGGAGTTCGAGCACCAACAGGCCCTTGCCTGCTTGATCCGAAGCTGAGGCCGCTGGCTGGTTGATCCAGCAGCTAGCAGGGTTTGCTTGATCTGGATTGAGCTGTTGAAATTTTTGCCAGGAGGCGGATTTAGTCAAGGTGGCTCGCCAGGGTTTTTACTCCCTTAGAGAAAGCTTTCTCGCTCTAGCAGGACGGCAGAGCCTTAAAAGAAACCCCAGAAACATGCCATGTTTAACAGTGTGATGTTGGCATCTCATCGCTAATTTCAGCTTGTGCCGTTGTGCACAAGAGCAGCGCCGATGAGGGGGCGGTGGCGGGAAGCATTAGGAAGTGTTTCCTAGTCTTCCTGTAAATATACATGACTGGTTAAGAATCGAGAGTGCAGTTCGTTTTGGGACCAAATGATTCGCTCTAAAAGTATTTTTCCTGGAAAGGCTTCCTAAAGGAGGCCTGCTCTAAAACCTGGTTTGTTAGCCATTTCTGAGAGGTTGATTGCCCTCTTGCAAGAAGTGAGGACGGCTGGCCTCCTCCGTCTGTCCCATTCAGAAAAGCTGCCACCGTTTCGTCTCCGAAGGTGCCCGGTGAGGGCTGCTTTAAGGAGAAAGAGGGTTTTTAAAATATTTTAAATGAAATTTTAAAATGTAGCATTTTTGGTAGCCCCTGGGAGGGGGCCGTTTTGGTCAGCTGATGTGTGTAGAACACATTCTTCAAAATATTCCTTTGCTTCATTCCGTTTCTTCTAAGTGTCCCATTTCCCTTTGTCTTCAGAATTGAAGTGTATGTTTCCGGCGATGAGAAGTTTTGCTTGGTTATGGATCTCAGTATTCCTGTGTTCCAAGATCCATAACTCACCTGAGCCTCCAGTCACCTGTTTTTGGGGAGCCCTAATAGCAGTCACACACCCCTTTCTGTGGCTGCATTAGATCCCAGAACCTCCCAGAAATCATCCCCTCCCTCCTTACAAAACCAGAATGTCCTCTGTTGCCGATTGCCTTTATTCAGGAATAAATAGCTTTCATTTCAGTCCTCTCTTCCTTGAGGGACAGAAACACAGCTGGGCAGCTTCTCTGATGCCTTGGTGGCCCGGGGCAATGAGAAGCAGCGACCCGTCACTTGTTCGCTCACGGAAGCAGCCGCATTACCGTTTCCAGTATCCTGCTCCTTGGAAACATGGTGTGGGACTAAATTGTGCACCGGTTGCAGAGGAAGCATTGCAGGAGTCCCGTATCCACAAGATCAATATTTGCTGAATAACATATCCGTAGTCTGAAAATATTGAAAGAAAAATCCTAGAAATATATATTTCTAAAGATGAAGTTATCAGAACTGGCCACTTAATGGAGCCTGAGACCATGCTATGTACAGCTTTCTCTGTGAAAATAGCGTTCGCTATCATCTGCGTTTTTCAGCATCTGTGTGGGAACTTGGAACCGGTTTCCTGAGGGTACTGGGGTCCTACCGTACTACCTCAGTTGGCAATTTGGAGTCTGCTCCGTTTGCCATTCAGCCAGTGATTGTGTGTAGTTATCGGCTCAGTGTTGTTGTTGTTTAAATGTAAGTCATTGAAATGCTGCAGTTTGCTTATTAAATGTGTTTCCATTTTCATTGGACTTCTGATAGCATTCTCGGGTGCTGTTTTTTGGCAGGGTGCCGTGATGCAAATTTAACAAAAGGAAGGAGATGTTCTCTGAGTGGCATCTTGAAGGCAGAAGTTTAAACAAAAACAATTGCAGCATGTCTTAGTGGCAGAAGGGAAGCCCAAGCCAAACTCTACAGACTCATTTTTGAAAAAAAAAAGTATGTGGGGGAGAGGAACAGAGATGAGACCACCTTTTATTTTTTGAAGGACAGCCATAGCCTTTCGAATACGGTGCAGAAAATAGTTTCCTGTCTCTCCTCACTTTCCTCTCACCTTTCCCCTCCCCTTTTTCTTTTTTCTTTTCCTAGGCACTGGTGAGAGTGGGAAGAGCACATTCATCAAACAGATGCGGATAATTCACGGCTCTGGCTACTCTGAGGAGGACAAAAAGGGTTTCACCAAGCTGGTGTACCAGAATATTTTCACTGCCATGCAGTCGATGATCAGGGCCATGGAAACCTTAAAGATTCTGTACAAGTATGAACAGAACAAGGTGGGCCATCCCCCCCCCAACGGCTGGTGCTTGCCTCCCCACATCCTCTTTGCCCTCTTATTTCATCGCTTGAGTGTAGGTGACTTTATGGAGCTCCAGTTTTGTGGTGTGGTTCTGTGATACGCCAGAGCTCCTCTCTTGGGTCTGTTGCAAAGCCTGCATCGTATCTATAAGAATGAGAGTTCCTCCATTTTTCCTAACTGGTTCAGTCCCTCAGGAAAGAGTTAATTTGCAATAGTGATGGAGAACGTGGACTCCCCCTAAGGCTGCTTCTGCAGTTCCCAAGCCCTGTGGCTGGGCAAGACCTAAGTTCCATGGGAACTGCATGGCATTAAAGGGCCTGGTGAGAAAGAAACAGTGTCTGGGGTGGAAGTTCGCCTCTGAAACGATCAGGCTGTCTTTTATGAGTGTAGCTTTTTTGCATGATCAAAACCTCTTATTTTTCAGGGTTACGGATTGTTCTGAAGGGCTTTCATGCCAAAAACTAAATGGAATTTCAATTTCTCAAATCAATTTTCCCCCTGCTGGGGGGGGAGGCACTAAGGTGACTGTGGGAACCTTAGAAGCTGCCGTAGCCTGGACATTTTTGACCTCGTTAGTTAACTGCATTCTGAGTACCTGCATAGGAGCTGAAATAAAGGCTCGCTTCCTTTATCATGCTCCTGTTAGCAGAAGTTCTGGAGGCTCAATTTGGCTAAAGTAATAATGTTATTTTCAGGGGCAGAGGTATATTTTGGTAGTTTTAAAAACCAGCTTCACTGTACCGTCTTCATACGGCTAAATCTGGCTGTTCAGTTAGACTCCTTGAATGAATACGTAAGGCTACCCATTGATTTCGTGGGTTGAGTCGAATCAGGATGAACAGTCAAGTGTGACTTAAAACTCTTGCTTCCTGAAATACAAAAATTAGCCTGAGGAATTTTGACTCCAGTTGGATTCGGGTTTTGAGATGTTCGTGGGGGCTGTGCTGCGCCAGGGGGAAAGGACAGAAGAATGGGAGGGTGATGGCAGGAGAAAATATCCTCCTATGTCAGCCTTTCAAGCTCAGTTTTCTTTTCCTTCTCTCTCTGAAACGGAAGGCCAATGCGCTCTTGATCCGGGAAGTGGATGTAGAAAAAGTCTCCTCCTTTGAACAGCCCTACGTAAGTGCAATTAAAACATTGTGGAATGACCCGGGAATTCAAGAATGTTACGACCGGCGGCGAGAATACCAGCTCTCTGACTCGGCTAAATAGTAAGCATATACAGCCCTTCTTCCCTTCAGCACAGGGAGGTGCCAACTCCTGCAGTGGCATTTCTGGTTGACTGGGGTCTCCCCTAGAACGTGGGAGTAGGATGAAGTTCTCTTACAAAAGAAGGTGTGGGACCTCCATTTCCACAAGATCAGTATCCACTGATTCACTCCTCCGGGGTCTGAAAATATTTTAAAAATATTAAAAGAAAAATCTTGAAAATTTCTATATTTCTAAAAGCAACGTTACCAGAATTGTCCACTCGAGGGAGCCAGAGACCATGCTACATATAACACACAGTGGTACCTTGGCTTATGAACGTCTCTACTTGCGAATAATTTGAGTTACAAACGGCTCCGTTTGCAAAAACGTTGCTTTGACTTGCGAACAGAGCCTCAACTTTTGAACAAAAAAAACGTTGCTTTGACTTGCAAACAGAGCCTCAACTTTTGAACAAAAAAAGAAAAAAAACCCTTTCCTGCCCCTTTTTTTTACCTAAGTTCATCTTAACAAATATATTTAAAAAATCACCCCCTAGTGGTAGAGCATGGATTAACCGGCTGTGTATTAGTTCCTATGGGAACTAATGCCTCTACTTGCGAACAGCGCCTTGACATAAGAACGAAAAACAGCCTGAACAGATTAAATGGTTTTCACTGCATTCCTGTGGAAAAGTTTGCCTCGACTTACGAACTTTTCGACGTACAAACGCTGTTCCAATAGGGATTAAGTTCATAAATCGAGGTACCACTGTATGCCATAATCCACATTTTTCTGCATACGTGTGTGTGGGGGTTTGGAACTGATCCCTCGTGGATACAGGGGTCTTCCTGTATTGTGCAACAAAACTTAATCTTTTACCTATTGCCACTGAACTTCCTTGAGCCTCGATACTGAAGGGCAGAGGAGTGGTTCCCCGCCCCGCTTTCTTATCTATTGATCTCCAGTTCTGACATCTTTCCTGGCGCCTTTCCTGTGCTTGGAATTGGTTTTGCTTTTGAAACCTACCTCCCAGGTCCTTAACATTGCCCTGTCTGTGCGGCTAACAGCGTTTGTTTTTCTGTCTCGACCTTGGTGCGTTTTCAGGGTAGCTGTGCTACAAAAGGGGAAAGTTAAAACACGAAGAGCCCTCTGGGACTAACACACTTCTTATCCAATTTTCTTGGCACTTCCAGGCCATTGGAGGAGGAGAACCCCCTGGTATTACTTAGCTGTGTTTGTTAGTCTTAGGTCAGGGTGGGGGAACCTTCTGCCTCTCCTGTTATATTGGCTTTTAATGCCTGCCGTCTCCCATGGTTGGCCAACGCTGCCTGGAGGGTCACAGTGTTCCCTCACTGTGTGTTAGAGTGTGAAAAGGAAGGGGAGAAGGACTGTAGAAGAAACCCTACAAGTATTTTTTTTTTTTTTTTGTGGTCAAGGTGGAATTGGATAGCACAGTCTTCCCCCTTCATACAAGGAAAGGTGGCTGAAGCTGTTGAGCAGAATTTTGTTTTTGACCAGAACTTCTCAAAACTGGCTAAATTTACACTGTAGACGTAAAGAGAAAAAAAAAACGGGGGAAAGCAAAAGGGACGGAAACACCCATCCCTAACTTGGGTTTCATACTTTGTTAGAAACAAGAAGCCTGAGCATTTCAAGAGCTGAATGCTGCTATTGTGAGACATTTGGGAGCTCTGTGGAGTTCTTACTCCTCGTCTCTCCTGTCTGTGCCTAGCAGAAGTAGAGTAACGTTGTTGAATACTGGGTGGGCATGGGATTTTTTTGAGTGAATGTATGGCACAGGTGATTAAGCACAGCTAAGCTCCATGGGAGCTCCAAGGTGTTCTGGATCTGGGAAGCACCCTTTGTGGACTAGTGAGAAGACTACCAGACCCCTAATGCTTTGCGCCTCCCATGGAACTTAGCCCTGCCTAGCTGCTTCCTCTGCTCGTATCATGTCTGAGAGAAGCCATTATTTCTACAGCCACTTGAAAGGCATGTGGTTTTTTTTTGGGGGGGGGCGGTTTAAATTCCTCAGAGGTCTGGCTGAAGGAATTCCCGGAGACATCTGGGTCCTGTAGTCCATCAACTCCCATTTGCAAATCCTGATGGTTCTCAGGGCTGCTGCTGCACCACTATATGTGACCAGCCAACTCAAGCTGCCTTCATCTTCCTCTCCCTCCCCTTCTCCCCGCACATGCTTTTTGCAGCTACCTTACTGACGTGGATCGTATCGCCACCCCAGGGTACCTCCCAACCCAACAAGACGTCTTGCGAGTCAGAGTGCCCACCACAGGAATCATAGAATACCCCTTTGACCTAGAGAACATTATTTTCAGGTAACGTCCATGGGAGACAACCAAGGAAGAGGGAGAGATGGAGGCAGGGGAAAAGGCATCCTTTGCTTTGATCTATACTTTAGCTTCGTTATAGTAACTTCTTAAGATGATGACAGGCAGGGGTGTGCAAAGGGTATCAGGGTCCTGGCTTCCCGTGCCCCAAATTTTCCCCATAGTGGTTTGGGGGAATGCAGTGGGAAACACTGCAGAAAACACTGGATAAAAGCAGCTTAGGGACAGACGTCTGGCATAAGGGTGCAGCATTGTATATGCGGTATATCTGCACATCTGGATCTGGGATGCCTCCTGTATGGACCATAATAGGCAGGGAGACTACCAACCCCTTAGTGCCTTGCAGCTGCCATGGAACATCGGCCCACTCAGTTTCCCAAGCGAGGTTTCTCAGTTCAGTTCTGTTGCTGCACTCCGAAACTTACTGGCGGGAAATGGGTTGGGAACTAGGCATCCACCCAGTCCAGACCTGCCTTCCTTTCTGTCCCCCCCTTTCAGAATGGTGGATGTCGGAGGCCAGCGGTCAGAGCGGAGGAAATGGATCCACTGCTTTGAAAACGTCACCTCCATCATGTTCTTAGTCGCCCTTAGTGAATATGACCAGGTCCTGGTGGAATCGGATAATGAGGTGAGCTGGATTGCACACCGTAGGAATGTAAGGGTGCAGCTCGGGGGGGGGGTGTTGTGTGCGAAACGGGGATTGCCAGCATTGCAACAACTTTGTAAAACATGCTGGATGGGCTTTCTGAAGAAACCGGTTGGGAAAACCCTTAAGAATACACACTCAAAACAGAGAAACCCCCTATATGTTTCCCACTCCACCCTGGGCCTTTGTAGTATTTCTCTTCCCCACCTGGCTGCCCTAGAGCTGAGAAGCTGCAAAGGGTCTTGTGGCCCCTTGAAGGCTAACCTTCAGGAGCTGTCATGAGCGTCGCAGGCGGACGTCCCCGAAATCTGACATAAAACCAGCCAACTCAATTTTGTAGTCATGCAGCTCTGTCCTGGCTCCTCCTGCCTTCACTCTGAGATGAGGAAATGGCAGCTGCCATCCCACTGCTTCGTCCCTACCTAGAGTAGGGCCACCCGAATCCCACAACGCCACCCTGAGTCTTCTATCCCTTCTTTTCTGACAGAACCGAATGGAAGAAAGCAAAGCCCTTTTCCGGACCATCATCACCTACCCCTGGTTCCAGAACTCCTCCGTCATTCTTTTCCTGAACAAAAAAGATCTTTTAGAGGACAAGATCCTGTATTCGCACCTCGTGGATTATTTCCCTGAGTTTGACGGTAAGAAACGGCTCCCCCTCCCCTCCAATCGGGGTGAGAAGGTTGGGGGGGTGTCCCCAGTCCCTCTGAAGCCGAGACTGCCTTTGGGGAGGGGGTTGAGACAGTGTGGACTGGGCACGGGCTCCAGTGGTGGCTTCTGTCTTTGCTTTGGGAACAACCCTATTGCGTTGATTGGGGTGGGGGAGTCTTTTCTACAAGACGTTTCTCGCCCTTTTTAAGAGGCTTCTAAGTCCAGGGGTGAGTGGGTTGAGAGAGAAGTCACCCTGGGAGTCGTTAGCCCTCGATTTGGAGGGTGGTTGATCGGACTGGGAATTTCCGAGGCTTCTTCCCACCCGCCACTCCCTCCGACCCTGGGAATCTCCTCTCATTATAAACCCCGCTTCCTCTCACATTCGCCCCTGCTGATGTGTTCTCAGGCCCTCAGAGAGACGCGCAGGCCGCCCGGGAGTTCATCCTGAAGATGTTTGTGGATCTCAACCCCGACAGCGACAAAATCATCTACTCTCACTTCACATGTGCCACAGATACGGAGAACATCCGGTTTGTCTTTGCCGCCGTCAAGGACACGATCCTGCAGCTCAACTTGAAGGAATACAACCTGGTCTGACCTTGAGTCGCTTGCCCTCTGTTCCTCCCAGTCCCCCTCCCTTCTTCCCTTCCTCCCCACCCACTGTGCTTCCCACATACCCCACCCCACCCTGTCCCAATCTCCCTGGGGAGACCTTTTGTCACAAAGAAAGTTAAGACAAGAGAAACCCCACACATTTAACAGAATTGTACAGGAAGGAAACACACAATCTTAATTTTTAATGGTGTAATGATTGCAGATTGATCTGTGGAGTGGCCAAAGGGGGGGTTTGCTTTTGTTCCATTTTTGTCTGTTTGTTTCACTCACTGTTATATCACGCCTGGCCCACGGAATTGGTGGTGTGGGTTTTTTTTAACAAAACAAAACAGGCACAAATGGGCCTTTACGCCACAGTTTAAAACAGCAACAGGGGGCATGTTCCACGCACGCACACCCCCTCTCTGCCTCTTCTCTCTCACTCTGTGTCCGTTTCCTGTTTCCTCGCCATCGGGTCAAGGTGGCTTCCTCTTGGACTATGCGTTGCGTTGGCCGTTTTTAAATTTTTATTTTCTGTTCCAGCGCCAGCCAACTCCAACCCTCCCTAATCAGGAGAGTCAGATGGCTTGCCTGTGAGAAGCAGAGTGCACTACCGATACCTTCACCTGCCATGGAACGCCTCTGGTGTAAATCAGCTCACACTGGTTAGCTTTTGCCGCCCAAGCCCCCCTTGTACATCTTTCCAAAAAGGACAGGCGCAAAAGGGGTGTGCGTGTGTGTACTCTTTATTATGACATCTAGGGAAACACCTAGTGCTCTTCTAATGATCATGCAAACCAAGTCATTTGCTTATTCCTTCATTTCTTTGTACATTTTTTTCCTTATCAATTATGGAAGTTATATTGAGACTGTGATTTTTTTTTAAATTATTGTCCTATATATAGTTTGCTACATATGCTGTACTTTACATTGATAGTCTACCAACCAAGCAATAGCTAACGAGCCTGGAGGAAGTGCCTAATTGTGCTGTTTGTTGAGTTCCCTTCTTTTTTTAATTTTTTCTTTTAAAGAAGTTTGCTCGCTTTAGGGAAGAGAATCTCTATGTGGAAAAATGTACAAGTGTTTCAGTGGGGGCGCTGAGTTCTTTTAAACGGCAGAGTCCAAATTTCTGGCACTGGGGAGGGTGATCCGAGGTTTCCACTCTGTTCCCCTTTGGATCTTTCCCTTTTCAAACACGGTGGCACTTCCAGGAGGAGCAGACTTGAAGGAGAAAGTGTGGTGTGCCTTTCCAGAGCAGTTTGCTCGGGTATGTGGAAAGACCTCCAGGAAACTGTTCGAGAAGTCCCAGAATTCTTGTAGATTCATTGCCAAGACATGTTTGGATGGCAAACACTACTTGTTCTCCTCTTGACAAAAACCTTGGAAGGTTTTTCCTGGGCTAGAAGTGCTTGCCCAAATACTTAATCCTGAGGAAGGAGAGGAATGCATAGCATGCATTTATGAACGAGAGCTGCAGCATACCAAAACCAAAAGAAGATTGTTTTTGAATGGAGGGGAAACTGCTGAGAAAAACAGCGCAGAAACTCTGAAAGTGAGCCAGGTGGAGGATTTTCTCTACCTTGTGTGCCAAATGTAATTCCTGCAACCTGCTTGAAGCACATGGGGATGTGTGGAACCACCGTTGCTGGTTTAATTGAAAGGAAAATTGCCGCCGGATTGAGCAAAATACTCCAAGGAGGGCTTTTGTTGTTGATGATGACGACGACGTTGCTGTTGTTTTTAATTTTATTTCTAAACATTCCCTCTGGACATGTGAACGACAGGCAACACTAATGGCCTTCCGCACCACGAAACGCCAGATTTCCGAGATTCTATGAAGGGATCGTCTTGGGGCTTCGTTTTTTATTTTGAAGAAGGCCACGTCAATGTCGAGGGGGTTGGGGACGAGAGTGTCCCGGGTTCCTCATGCCTTGTGCGAAGGGGCTGCATGAGCCATTGCTCCCTTGGTGGGCAAGGTATGTGTGTGTGGGGAGTCACTTTCGTCTTCCCCACCTGCCTGCTTGTGGCCTGGACGCTAACATCTAAACGGCGTGCGGATGCCGACGGGTGGTTTTCCAAGCCAGGGAGGATGGACTTGTCTTCAGAGAGAGGGAGGTGGCCTGCTCCCGGATGCAAGAAGAAAACACTACAGTGGGGAAGGAAGTGGAGCCAGGGCACTTGAGCACATGGGTGTGGGTGTTTCCGAAGACTTGGGGGACCGGGGTGGGGGGATCGGCCTGGAGTAAGGATATGCCGCACAAGAAGGTTGATGGGAAAGGGGTTTGAGAGAGGACGGGTGCTGCTTTCCCACATAATCAACATTCCCGATCCTTACAAAAATGTCTCCTGTCTCAGTATTTTGGAGAGTGGCGAAGGAAGAGGCATCCCTCTGGAACCAAGGCTGCTTGATGTTCCTTCTCTCTCTCTTTCTCTGGCCAAAAGATGCTCTCTTGTCATCTTCTGCCCTCACAAACGTGCCATGACTCTCCCTTCAACAGCGCTCACCCGGAGTACCTTTTTGATCACACCGGCCTTTTCTGAACCCTGGCATGCTCGGCAGGCCTCGCTGGGGTCTGGGGTCTTGAGCATCTCACCCGCCTCTTTTGCCAACCCAGTTCAGACATTTCCATGAGTGTTTTTTGTTTTTCGAGGTGAGTGGATGGGCAAGGGAGAAGGGATTGGTCTTGGAAGAGATGCCGGCCCTTCCGCTTTATCTCCAGAACCCTTCTTAAGCCTGCCTTCTGTGGATCGCCTTTGGCCCTTTCTCCCCAGCCGGCGGCGGTCTGCTTTCCAAGAAATGAACGTGCCAAATCTCCCTCGGGCCACCCCTTTCCTCCGAGAAAAGCCGTCCGTCGCTTTGGGAGACTCCCGAACCGTGGACGCAAAAAAGGCTTGGAGGCTGGAGGCGCCCGAAAGTCAAGATGAAGGAGAATCCTAACCCAAGTTCTGTTCACCTTGCACTTTATTTATAAAGAAGGAGAGAAACACCTACTGATTACGCAGAACGCCTTCATGTTCCCTGGATCGTCCCCGTGGGGGGACTGGGACGGGGGATCATCCAAACGCATCATTCCATTTAATTTTTCCGCTTGGACAGGTTGCATCGTGAGCCACCGCCCCCCTCTCACCCCTGGCTGGCCGTGTCTTCTGATTTCACTTTAGCATTAATGGGTCTTGTCATTGCCTTCAATCGTGTGTGTGGTTTTGGTTTTTTTTTTTCCATATGTTTTATTACTACTTTTTTTACGTGGTGTGGTTTCTCCCCCCCAGGGTGAGGGGTGTGCACTCATGTGTCCACATGGGCCATGAATTGTATTGCGCTTCACTGGGGGGAAAAAACTAAGGTTGTTTGACTCCATCAGAGGTGGAAAAGTCTGTAATCCAGTACTCTTGTGTGTATGTCAGTGTGTACGTATGTGTGTGTGCGTGTGTGTGTGTAAATTTTTTTTAAAGCGTCGTATGGTTTCTGCCAATACCCGGTTCATGCTTGAGTAACCAGAGACTCTTTTTACAAGTTACCTGTGTGGTGGGGAATTTATTTGCTTATACTTGTATATTAAAATAAAAGAATCCGGATTTAGAAGTGGGGGGGGGACAGCAAGAGATGATGCATTAAAAACATGATCCTATTTAAAAAGAAAACAAAAAACTATATAAAGATTGCTGTGTTGCTGTTGTTTTTTTTAAAGAAAGGAAACTTGGGTGCGGCATCTTTTTTGAAACTGCATGTAGTGTTTTAAAAGCGCGAGGGTGGGAGGGAGAGGGGATGATTATGAACGATATGGCCCAGAACTGATTTTTTTAAAATATATTTTGCCCATGTGTGTTCTCNNNTATGTGTGTGTGCTCTCTCTCTCTCTCTCTCTCTCTCTCTCTCTCTCTCTCTCTCTCTCTCTCTCTCTGTCTTGGAGGCAGGAATAAGGAGTTCTGGGAACACATCTATTCTCTTGTCCTCTGGGTGCTAACCTTCCATGTTTAGAAATACCTGTTGGGGGGGGGAATCAATTTTCATATCTTTCTCCTGAAATAAATTGTTTGAAATTGGAATAAAAATGGTTCCTTAAAAAACGGGGGGTGAGGGAAGCGCAACCCTCCTGTTTCCCCTCCGGACCTTTTTTGGTTTACAGCTTCAGAGGCTCAAGCGAAAGGCCTGGGTTTCTTGGTGTTTTTTTTACACAGACGCTGGAATCAACAGGGTGGAAAAACAAGGACACTGGCTAGACCAGCGCATGCAGGACCCTGAGAAAGCGAAAGGCACCCTTCGAACCCACAGCATGTGTGGGAAGCGTGTTCTCCTTGTGGCTCCTTTTGCACAAAATCCGTCTCCAGTCCCTTTTCGTTCCAGTTCGTGCGCTCTTGGGATGAATATCCACCTCGAAGCCGTTCCTCACTCCACAGAGTGGGGTCCGCCATGGGCCCAGAGGGAACCCTGCCCTCCTCGGCTCCGGGTTTCTACCTCGCCACTAGATGTCACCCAAAAGCCGTCTAGTATATTTCATTTTTTAAAAAAATAGCTGTACATAAGACATGCAAGCCCTCTTTGGGAACAGGGTGCCTCGGTCAGTAGCAGAAGGAACCACCACTTTCAAAGACCCTGAAAGCTTAAATATTGCAAGGTTTGTTTAACATAAGCTTTTCCTCTGCTGCAGCTGTCTGTAAACCAGGGGTCTCAAACATGCGGCCCGGGGGCCATTTGCGGCCCCCCAGATGATAGTTTGTGGCCCTCGCCTTGCCTGCCCCCCCAAAGCACCCACACATCCTCTGCTGTCAAGAGTAAAAAAAGCTTTGCCTCGCTCGCCGGCTCTCTCCCACGACAGCGCCTCTTGCACCCTCCATCCAGAACTGCAGCCTGCCAGCCAGCCCACCTGTCTGTCGGCTAAGAAAACTCCTGGGTGGCTTCCTCGGGCTCTCGCTCCGCTTGGTGGAAAATCTGATGCGGCCCAGCCTCACCCAGACTCTGCCTCTAGCGGCCCCCAGGTAAATTGAGTTTAAAACCCCTGCGTAAACAACAAATCAATCCAGTTACTCTGCTCTTATTCTCCGTTGCTGGGGGTTTCTTGCACTGAGACCAGTGGGAGGGGGAACATTTGGGGTTCTGGTGGTCAAGCAGCAAGTGGTGGGTTCCGTCCCTTGTTGGCTGTGCTGGCTGGGGAACATGGGCTTTGGAGTCCAGGAGCGGCTAGATGGCCCCCTGTATGTGCCAGCCGAAAACCTGAATTGGCCCACAACTCAGTGAATCGGCAACATGTTCCGCGAGGAGTCACATTAGAGAGCCGGAGGGTGTTTCTGCTTCAGGTGTGCACCCACAATGATGCTG